TACATATGTAGATATGTATATATGTCTACATAGACACATATGTACACACACGCACATATATATCTATCTATACATATATGCATGTATGTATGTATGTATGTATGTATGCATGCATGTATGTAACTGTATGTATGTATGTATGTATGTATGTATGTATGTATGTATGTATGTACATATATATATATGTATATGTATGTATATATTTGTATATGTGTATATATATATGTATATGTATATATGTATGTATGTATATGTATATATTTATATGCATATATGCATATATATATATATATATATATTATCTATGTGTATATATGTATATATGTACACGCATGCACACACGCGCACGCACACACACACACGCACGCACACACACACACACACACTGACTGGACGTGATCAGTTTTTGTTTGTGTGATGGGGCTTCAGGAGGCCGAGAATAATCGCACGAGACAGCAGCCATAAAACCATCTGGTAGAGCAGTAATTCAATCATCAACTCCCTTATCAGCATGAGGGCATGTGAAAAACCCGGAGCGGTAAAGAAATAGTCAAGGCAGACTCCAAGTTGGCAGCGTTTTCATTGAAGACTCGAGTTTCAGGCCGCAGCACAGACAAGTGACCAGAACTCACCCGAACCGCCAGTGAACTCGAATCCTTCTCTACATACAAGCAGGGGCTCATAAGATGTCCCTTTCAACCCGCTGGGCCCTTTTCCCCTGAACCCTAAACCCTAATCCTAGCCATGCGAGAGGAAAAATAAATCAGTAAATTCGACCCTCAGGTGCCCTCTCTGGCGCAGTGTCAGCTTGAGGCTGGACCTTCTTCGCTTGTCCGCGAGGTTTGCTACTTGGAGGATCACGGGACTTAGTAAGAAAGGTTATAAGTCCCCTAATTGGGGTTATAAGTATAGTTACCTTAGTTGTAACCCTACTTACTAAGTCCCATAATCCTTTAAGTAGGGTTCTAGTTTTGTACAACAGAGCCCGAAACGCTACCCCAAAAACCTCGGAATCACGCAGCACCCCACCGCTGGACGTAGGACGAAGCCCAGCGCTGGCGATGGGCCAAGCCTTCTCTTAAGCTGCTCGGACGCGAAATGGGGGTTTCCGAAAATAGGGGACTCTAATATAGTACCCTAAGTAGTAGGATCCTTATTATAAGGACCGCAAGAGAAGGTAGCCTTATTTTCGGAAACTCCTAAATCGGGTTGGACCTGTCTGATGTAGGAACCTGATCAGGACACCGTGGGTCCTTATTAGGGTTCTTTGCATGAATCGCATTATTTTGGGTTTGTAGGGCCAGGGTTTCTTAATCAGGTTCTTACATGAATCCGAAGAGGGGTTTGCCAGGGGTTTTATCGGAAGGGCAAACAGCACGCCCCCTGTACCTGAAATCTTACACCCTCGACTCTGAGCCTTCCTAAAGGCGTACTGCTCTTGTACCAGGTCCCATAAAGGGAAACCATAAGCTGGTGATCCGACCTGTGTATAAATTGCATAAGAACCTTTAGAAAGCCGTATTCGGAGGCCTCCAGAACCCTTTAACTTAGGAAGCTGTATCAGAGGCCCCAGCCCGGAGCAATTTAGGAACCTGGACTTATGGTACCATCCGGCCTGTACCTGAGTGTTGCAGCGTGCGGGTCGGAACCCCCTGAAAGTGTCCCTGTCATCGACACCGGCGGGTGCGGAGGATACCTCGCCGGCGACTTGGAACATGCAGACCTGCACTGACTTCATGAATGTGCGGCGTCCTATAAGGGTAAGGGTATTTGCATAAGCACCGTGTGATGCTCTCACTTTCATCGGCCGGTGTACCTTGCACTTATCCCTACAAAGAGAGCCAGGCTTCAAACCCCAGAGCCTGAAGCCCTTAAACCTAGATCCTCAAGGCGGAGGCCTCGTTACCCTGAAGCCTTGAGCCCTCCGCGTTAAGCTGCGCTTGACCAGGTTAGGCTTGAAGCCTGCCGCCAAGACAGACATCTGCCTGGCACTCGGCTGCTCCTCCTTTCATCGAGGCTGCGAGGCCTTTTGGGGTAAAAAGGGCTTTCAAGGACGGGCAGAAGTCAGAAGTTCGCAGAGAACCGAGGGATCAGGGTCAGGATCGAAGATTTCGGGTTTGGGCCTGTGAGATCCCGGACTCCAGCTTACTCGTGCTAGAGCACAGAAGGAACGAGAGAGGCGAGAGCAGCCTTGGCTACCAATAATCAAGCCAGAAGTGCGCCGGGGCGGTGCGGGGTAACCGCCGGATTCGGCAGAGAATTGCCGGTACTCGTACTCGTAGATCGAGTGAACCCGCAAGGCCAGAACAACAACTGTCGAACGAGGTCTGGACATCGACAACGGTCAAAGCCCCCTCCTGTATGCTGCTGGGCTTGGTGTTCAGATTTCAGAGCCTGCTTCTGTTCTTCAGCCATTGTTGTGGTTGGGTGCGTCGTGCGAGGAGGACAGTTTGAGATTTTCAGTTGGGACGCAGACATTGGCGGCCGAATCTGCTTGCCCTGCCAGATTTTGTGCCTTCACATGCATGCAACGCAGATGTCGGTGAACCGATTGAAATGCAGCACCGCTAAGGTGTGCTACAGCATGGAGGACGTGCATGCGCCGCACGGCGTCGTCAACACGAACCAAGCTCTCTGGCTGTGGCTTGGCAGTATGAATGGTGCTTCAGGCGGGTCCACTGCGCATCAACGCACACACACACACACAAGCAGGCAGACAGCTCTGCTGGTTTGGGTGGGTTCGAAATATGCAAGTAAGTTCATTAACCCTACATGAGCAGCCACGACTGAGTGGAGCGACATGCACAAGAGTTACCTGACTTGGCGGGCTGTGGCGCCAAGGGCGCTTGTTTGCCTTTCCACAATGGCTTGAAGGCCTGGCATGCTACACTCAGATGTACGGCATTGGAAAACAGCTGAGGACCCCTGCAGGCCACCTGACGTGCCTCGGACGCAGATGTGTTCTTAATCCGGGATGTGTGCAAGCCCACATCCTGCAGGAAGTCACTTGGACCGTTTACTGTACCGAGGAAACAACAGATGTCCAACATGATACACCTTGGCTGCGAGCGGTGGCATTGGCGACGATGTTGCTAGTCATGATGATGGCGATGACGTTCCTGCTGGTGGCTTGACAGCACCGGTGGTGGCGATGATGGCAGATTGGAATGCATCGAACAATTTGACGGTCCAGGGCCCAGCAAGCAGCGTGCAGCCCTGCCCCAAGTTAGCACCCCGGGCCCCCAAATATTCTCATCTTCATCTTATTTGTCACAAACATTTTTTCCATTGCCATCAGCACCACCAATATCTCAATTGATTTCTTTATCTATAGCTTCGCCATCACAACCAACACCAGTGTCATTAACAGTGCTATTACCATTGCCACTACCAGTTCCAGTATTACCACTACCAGTATCACTATCATTCTCATCATTGTGACGACTTTCATTGCTGTCATCAGTTTTTTTGTTCGTATTCTGGTTCTTTTTCAAGTTAGTATTCTTATCATTGCTGCTACTGCCACCATTATGAGTACTGCTATATCGGTTACTACTACTGCGACGACGACGACTACTACGACGACTACTACGACGACGACGACAATTACTACTATTACTACCACTACTACCGCTACTGCTACTGCTACTGCTACGGCTACGGCTACGGCTACGGCTGCTGCTACTGCTGCGGCTGCGGCTGCGGCTACGGCTACTGCTACTGCTACTGCTACTGCTACTGCGACGACGACGACGACGACTGCTACTACTGTGATGATGATGACTACTACTATCAAAGACAGTAACAGTACTACTGTTATCATTACCACCATCATCATCATCATCGCTATCGCTATCATTACCGCTGGTATTATATTGCCAGTAGTATTGTCACGATCATTGCCGGCGTCACTATCACTATCACTCTCACGTTCATGAACTTTTCTTCTTCTTCGTAGTATGATTACCAAGATGATTATTACTGCTCTGATTGTTGCTTCTATTTTTCTGCTTGTAGTAACCGCATTATCAGTATAATTTGTGTTATTATAATTCTTTCTGTTTTTATTGCTGTTATTATTGTTGTTGTTATCAATTATTATTGCTGTGGTTATTGCGCCCGACCTGCGCAGCTCACCAGACCCAAGCACTGCAGCCTCGCAGAGCCGAGAGCTGCTGGGCCGCGAGAGGCAAGAACGCAGAGACCAGGCCGGGTTTAGGGTTTAGGGTTTAGGGTTTAAGGGGGGCTGCAAGGGAGTTCATGGTTTGGGTCTTCAACAACTGAGGGCTTGGGTCTGTAAGGGGGTTTAAGTTGGGGTGGAAGACTCGAGGTGAAGCCAGAGGGCTTGGACGTGATGTGGCAGCTGAAGGCGCTCATCCGTTTGGTCTTTCCTGCAGTCCTAGCTGGCCTTCTGACACTGCAGGGCTGTGAGGAGCTGCAGCATGTCAAGAAGGAAGCGGAGTCGGTGTTTGATGGAAGCAACGAAACCAAGCGACGCTTCAAGAGTTCCGGCAGGCCTGGGAATCAGACAGACCGCGAACGCCCCACGCATGCCCCGGTGGCGAAACGGTCCAGGAGCGTGCAAGAGTCCTCCATCCCACTATCTGCCGTCTCTTGGTCGGGAGGTCAGCGGTTGCTGATGGCAGTTTCACCCGTGTCCTCGAGCGGGGAGCTGTTGCCAGCGCAGAAGCTGGTCGTCGACACGGGTTCATCGACGCTTGCGTTTTGTCAGAGCAGCTTTCTCCAAGAGGCTGCTTTTGAGTCCACGGACTACATCTCTTGCAATCAGTACAACCCAGGAGGTGATCCGACAGGGTATTGGGGCCCCTTCGTTCAGGGAGACGTCCTGGCTGGCAACATGACTTTCCAGAAGGCCTCGTACAGCATTATGGCTTTTCAGGAGAATATGCCCTGTAAAGACGGCATTCAAGGAATCTTCGGCATTGCTTTCCGTCAGTTGGATGCTGCCGGGCTGCACTGAGACTGTCTAAAATCTCAACATCCAGTAACTCGCAGTCACGATCCGTCATCTAGTCGGATCTCTTTTTGTAGCTTTCACGGGGTTAGATGCGAAGGGTTGCAGCGATGAGGTTGCTTATCCTGCGGGTACGACGCTGCCCAACTGGTACGCCGGCGGCAAGGCTTCGTGCCCAGAGGCAGCCGGTGTGGTGCCACCTCCGATGATCCAACAGCTTCGATCGGAAGGTTGGGACCTTTGCAGCTATCCTGAAGCTCTGATCCGCCAGGTTTGCACTTGGTAGGCTGATAAGCTAAATCCAACTAAAGCGTGTCACTTCCACCCTGCTTCTCTTCGCTGAATCACCTGAAGCTCTCGATGCAAGAACCGCGATCTTCAAAAAAAAGAGGCATCCTGAAGCGCTATAATATAGAGGCAGGCCTAAAGAATTACCTATACTACTTTTTTGGGGTTCCTTATTATAATGATAGTATAAAGGGCCTGAGAGGCCCTGAACCCGAGACCCTAAACCCTGAGGTGGGGTGGAGAAGCTTGGTATCTACTGGTCCGGGCAGGTGGGAGAGAACCAGGGCCGACTGTACCTTGATGAAGCGGCCGTGACAAACGAGCACCTCGCCTAACGGGGTGGGGGGGGGGGAATAACAAGGTTTGTTGGTTTGTTATTGAGGTCCTTCAGGGTCCGACAGGGGTTTGAGGAGGGTTCAGTAAAAATTATGTGGATCTTGATGGATTTGGGGTTGGTCTCGGTCATCTTTGGGTACCGGGGGCCTCGGTTTCTGATTTTTGGAAGTTTGGTGGAATCTTCTTAATTCAACCAAGCTTCTGTGTCGAGGCACTACGACAAGTCGTCAGTTCTCGGCCCGGCTGCGCTGGGAGAGATCGGTTGGTACGACATCACGGTGCAGAAGATTCAGTTAGGTGGCCAGGAGTTCGCCAACTTTGACTGCGATCCGAACACGCCCGGCAAGCAGTGCATCATGGAACCTTGGCTCGGAAGGTGGGTATAGCCATAGCGGTTTGTCTTCGGGTCGTGCGTGGGAGAACCGAGGACACAGGAACCCCTGCGCTTGTGCTTCCGCCTGATGTCTTCGAGGCCGCTGCCGCGCTGATCGACTTCGGACAGCCTGCAAGCTTAACCTTCTATTTGCCTGGCGCCTCCGGAGAGAAGGACGTTCCGGTGAGCTTCGACCTGATCGCCCTGAACAACATGGCGGCCCTGTCAAAAGGTGGGGTTGGGACCAACATCATCCTTGGGCTTCCTCTCTGGGCCTTCTACTACACCGTCTTCGACATCACGGATCAGTCCGTCTCCCTCTTCCCAAAGAAGCAGCAGACGCAGCCGACCATCCGACCCCAGAGCCCCATGGAGCCCACGGAGCCCACGGAGCCCACGGAGCCCACGCCCCAAAGCCCGCAGCAGGTACCCTGGCCCTTCGGGCCCTTCACGGGCCCCTCTCCTTGGGCCCCGATCCCGGGGCACCAGCCGGGAAGCTGGCCTGCACCGGTGGGAGGCTCTTGGCCTCAGCCTTCCGATCCTTGGGAACCTTTCGGCTTCGAGAGAAAGCCTGCGAAACAGGGAGAGGGGCGTCGGATGGGAGAGCTGCCAGTGCATGTCTGATGGAGCTAGAGATGTGCAAAACGTGCTTTTGCAAGGTGCCCCCGTACAGAGACTGGTGCACAAGCTGTGCAAGACCTTAGAATGCCTCATAATGGGTTTGGCTGTTTGACCATCGGCGGCGTCGCCGGAATGTACAGGTGAAAGGCGCCGAGCCGTGCATAAAGGCCCAGAAACACTGCATGGCAGATAGGCCATAAGGCCATAATTCAATTTTCGGTGGAGGCAGCTGCAATTCTAAGCAGCTTCCAGAATCTTTGCAAGATTTAGTAGTCGGCCCTGCTACAGGGTGTGTGTTGCTCAGAAGTGGCACATGCACCTCGTAAAGGAGGCAGGTGCTGACCTCGGCTATAGCACGTCCGCTAACCCGCCCCGTAAACATCGATTTCATTTTGGCTTTCATGCGCAATCTTGGCCGCTGCTCACTGAGGGAGTGCGCGTGGGTGTTCGCAAACACACAGAGATATGTTTACGTACATGTGTATAGTTATATACCGTTATGTACCTATCTGCCTGTACACTTATATCTGTAGTATTCTGTAGTATAGCTATGCTTTTGCCTATATCTAGATCTATATCTGTCGAACTATCTCTTTTCTATCTCTATCTGTAGTTCTGGCTATGCCGATACGTGAATTTTCGTAGATTTATGTCTATATAGCTGTATACCTGCATTTTGCATCTCGAGACACTTATCTATGTCTGCATGGTGGTGCGAGCCTGTGGCTGTCTAGTTGTCTAGCTGTTTGTCAGTTTGTCCCTTTGTTTCTGTGTCTGTCGGTGTGTATGTGACTGTATGTGTGTCTGTGTGTGTCCTTGTGTGCGGGGGGAGGTGTGTGTAGATGTGTCCGTGTCCCTACCGTCGAGCTACTGCAATAGTCTCACAGTTCCCTGGCAGCCCGGCTCAAAACCCTAAACCTCGTACCCTGCACCCGACACCCAACTTCGTTTGGCCGTAAGGCAGTGGGGGCCCGTGGATACCTCCTTCACGAACCTTTGCCTCGATGGCTCAGTCCCCCCCGTGCTGCTCGGCTCACTTACAGGGTCCCTTTTTTGAGATCTGGGCAGATCTAGGCTTTGGGATGGTCTGTTCATGTTTAGGTACCTCCGACGAGACCTCCAGGTCTAAACACGGTTCAGGGGCCCCCCCAAAGCCCTCTAATGTAGGGGCCTTTATCATTACCGACACTATTTTGGGGGTTCCTTATTATGATTATAGTAGAATGGGCCCCAAAACCCTATTCAATTATTAAGGCTCCTATATTAAACCCTAAACCCTAGGGCTTGCGGCCACTATACTATACTATACTAATACTATACTATACTATACTATACTATACTATACTATACTATACTATACTATACTATACTATACTATACTATACTATTATAATACTATACTATACTCTACTATGATAATACTATACTATTCTATACTATACCATCTACTACTATACAATACCCAAAACTCCGAAGCCCCAAATCCCCAAAGCCAACTTCCAGGCAGCATCGGCGGCTTGGCCTGCTGGACTGCGAGGAAGCGCGCGCACAAGGCGTGCGCTGGAAGAAGGCCTGGAGCTTTGTGGGGTTTACTTGGAGGTTCATGCGTAGTTATAAGTCCCCCAATATGGGTTATAAGTATAGTTACCCTACTTATAACCCCACTTCTATCTACCCGTGAACCTCCAAGTAGGGTTCGGGCTATGCAAATTTCAGAGCTTCATAGTAGCAACCATATACTGATGCACGGATTCAGGGTTAGTTTGGAGGGACTATGGTCTTTCTGAGCTTGTATGGGCTTGGAGTGCAGTTTCAGGGCTGCTTGTGCTGGGCCTGAGCTCCTCCAGTACCTCAGAAAGTTTAGTCTTCCACGTATACGAATGAGTTCAAGAACGAGGATCCCCAACGCAGAAGCCCCGAGTTCCATGATCATGTGTAAGTAGACCCGCAAGGTGGGCGCCCACACGCCACCACAGACGCAGATGGTCGCAGGAGAAAAGAGGGGCCACAGCGGCACTACGAACTGTTGGGGGCGCAAAGTTTTTTGAAGCACTGAAACCTGTCTCGGGTTTGGGGCAATGTGTTCCAGGTCTTCAGGGCTTGGGTGCAGTGGCTACAACTGGAGTTCTATGGCATCCTGTTGGATGTGTATCTTCCACTTAGATTCACTAGATGATGAAATACAGGTTCATGTACCGTACGTAGGATTCAATTGGACCCCGCAGTGCAGCACCCTGCTCAGAACCTGTTTACGAAGACTGGGGCCCCCGGATGCTTTAAGGACGGCCGCTTACATCGGGCTATGCTTGGCAGTGCTAGAAGATACGGCGCAAGAAAAAACATTTCACGGGTGCCCCCCCCGGTCCAGCGCGAGGTGAATACCTGGAAACTTCCCGAAACACCCGTTACATCACAAACCCAGCGGCTGCAGTATACAGTCCTTCTTGAAATATCAAAGTTCGACCTTCTATACTGGAGTATACCATACTACAGTTACTATATTATGTTCAACCATATTGCAATGTATGCTGATGTGCTATATTACATTAAATTGTATTAAATTATATCGTATGCCATATTCTACAGTTTTTCTAATATAGTACGGCATGATATGATACGATATGTTATGATGTAATATATGGTATGATAATATGCTCTACCATACCGTATGATGTCATGGGTATTATATGAGATGAATACCATGAGACATGACACGAATAAACTTCATATCTTGCGATACAATATGACATGTCGCCGTTCTATGTAAGATTTTACTGTAGTATAATGTGTTGTGTTGCATGTATTGTATTGTATTGTATTGTATTGTATTGTATTGTATTGTATTGTATTGTATTGTATTGTATTGTATTGTATTATATTGCATTGAACTGAAGTGTATCGTCGTGTAGGGTACTATGCTGCATTGTGCTTTGGACTGTTCTGTTCTGTTCTGTTCTGTTCTGTTCTGTTCTGTTCTGTTCTGTTCTGTTCTGTTCTGTTCTAGTCTATTGTACTAACTACTGTAAGCCATTGCCGAAGCCCTGAACCTAAAATCTCTATAATGCCTGTCCAGCGGCTGCCGTTTTCAGCTTCTCCCCTCCCCATAGAAACAATTGCTCGAGCAGCTGCCAGACAGCTGGGCTGTCCGTGACTTGACCGGCGGTTAGGATTGAGGGCCTTGGGGATGTAGCGTTTGGATTTTTTGACCCGCTGGCTGTGCGATGATGGTGATGATGATGATGATCATCATGGCCGTAATGATGGTGCTCATCACGAGCATTAAGTTCCGGGTTGTCGGGTTCATTGGATTTAAAGCTCTCCCTGTTGAGTTGGGGAGTCTGGCAAGGCGTGACTCTGGACATGTGGGTTCCCAGATTTCGAGAAGCAAGCATCACGGAGTACTGTCTTGCGGGTCAAGCTGGGCAGTAAGGGCAGCAGACGAGTCCCTTGTGAAAAAAAGCATCACGGCTCCCAAAGCTGAACCCTGACTCCTGAGCCTCCTCCATGAAATTTCTTGAATACTGCACTCCACGATACATAACTGGAACGCCTCCATGCCTTAATGGGATGTTGAATCCGATAGGCCCCGCACTTCGAACAGCCCCAGGACACAGCATGGGTGACAAGAAGGGCGGCGGCGATGAGATCAACTTCCCGGAGGCGGAAAAGCTGATGTAGGCTTTTAGGCTCTTGGGTCTAGGTTGAAGGTTTTCATCTCGGTTTCAGAGTTATATCCCTTTCAGTGTTTTGGGACAAGGCCTTCGCCAAAGGAAGTCGGGCTGCAGAGTCGCAGATTTGTAGACTCTGCCTGTGTGGGGCCTCTTAGCGGCAGGAGCCTTAATCCAGGTTAATCATGCAGCATAGACAAATAGAATAGAACATGCTATAATGCAATATAATATAATATAATATAACGTACTATAACCTAACGTGATACAAAATACTATAATACAGTATAAGGCAAGGGTGCTTGTGGCTAAACGCGCCATCCCGGGAACCCCAAGTCGGACCCACTTTTTGTGTTTCGACCCGCCAGGAGAGTGCGTTCATGCAGCGGAAGATCGAGGTGCTGCAATACAGGCTTGTCGGGGTTTCTGCAAGAGTTTCTGATTTGTGGCTTTTACAGGGGCACAAAGCCTTGACCCTGTTCATGGGTTAGATGTTCTTAAGCAATTATGCCTGTAATGTAAGCCTGTATGCAGGTAGCTATATCAATATGTAGCTGCCTGCATGTGCACACCGATGCTCGCAGTGAAGTGCAAGATCCAGTGCCTGGACGACGGTGAATGTCCGATGTGGTCGTGCATGACTGCAGGGTAGATGTACAATATGTGTGTACATATGTATATATATATATATACATGCCTGGACATCTACCTTTCTACTGCGAGAACAGGTGCACCCAGCTTTTCTTTCGCTCTTGGGAAGTTTGGCCTTCGACCCTGAAACCCCCTTGCAGTCGACACCAGGATCATGATGAAGGACGAGCAGATTCTGGCCTGCCGCAAATCTGAGGATGAGCTGAGGCGGCCATGCTATGTGGAGCTCAAGTTTCACTTCTTGGGAGCATAAGACTTCCCGTGTTTGGGGTTTAGGGTTGAGGGGTTTGGGGTTTTGGTTTTAGGGTTCACCTGTGACAGGAGGTTTAGCTGTGTCTTGTGGCATCGCGTGATCCGCCTTGCAGTTCCTCTGCTCTCCAACGTTGCTGACTGCAGGAAGCGCATCGCAGAGCTTGACAAGGCCCAAGCCCGCAGAAGGGCTGATTGAGAGTGTTTTCGGCATGTGGGGCATTTGAGCACTGAGGAGCCGTTTGGGGTTGTGGCTTTCAAAGCGGGATGTTGCAATGGGCTCGGGTTTGCACGTATTCAAGATGAGAGAGAAAGGAACCAAGGTTGCTAGTGGTTGTCTTTGTCTGATTTCGTGTGCTTATGCCTGAGACTTAGATGCATCGAAGCTTCTTAAACCCCAGCCCGCTTTATCCTGAGCCCAAGTCTTTTCTGCGACGGTTCGAGGCTTTCGATGACGAAGCCGTCCGGTGCAGAGAACACACAGCAGCCATTCAGATGGATTAGAGCGATTAGCATCAGAGTTTGGGATTTTGCGAAGACGTGGGCCGGTTGGGTTAGTAAAGCGTCTCGGAGTGGACTCCCCGAGAGGACTCTCCTTCAAGGCTCGCTACTTATATAACTATGGTGGAAGTAGCAAGGATAGTAGTAATCGCTAGTAGTGGCTGACATCATCGCAAGTCGTTGTCGCTGTCGTTGAAGCCGCAGTCGGCCCTTCGTCGTGTCCCGGTCGCACCCCTCGAAGACCCAGACCGAAGATGAGGAGGGGTGCAGGATCCAGGCATCGGAGTCGCAGGAGGGCCATGCCCGGCAGTTTCGCGTGCAACTGATAGGCTTCCGGTTGTGTTTTTCATTTTCTACTCTTTGTTCGTGAGAGCCGAGGAAATGAGTCGGCAGTATCGTGAGATGCAGGCCTGCAGACTACGACGGCTTGCCGGTTTATGGTTCAGGGTTTGGTCTTCATAGCTTCGGGATTGTTGATGTCGCCTTACAGGCCCTCTTACTCGGAAGTTAGGTGGGTTCGATGCTTGTCGACTATTTGCGCGTCTGGCTTCAAAGCCTTGCGTCGTAGTTTAAGGTCTTGGCTCTGATTCTGAAGCTCCACTTAATTTCTCATCCCCACTCCGTTGAACATTTGGCCTGGTTTAACTATAGGACGCTGTCAAGCCAAGGTATGTGCTTACTGGTTGGTCATTTTCTGCTAGAATACGCAGTAAGGCTATCTCGCTATACAGTCAATCTATCATGTCGCCTTTCGTATAACAGGACCTCCATGCCGCTATGTCGGATTGTCATGGCCCATGCAAGCTTCAGGGTATCGAATTTTGGTGGTTATTTTTTATTTGTTTGTTTTGTGGTGGCATGTTTAAGACAAATCTATATGTATATATGTATATATGTTGATGAACCGGAATCGCCACATGATTAAGATACATGTTGAGCCGGAATCGCGAAATGAGGGGGCGTGCTTAAGGTATATGATGAGTTGGAATCGCCAAATGAGGGGGCATGCTTGTCGGAATCGCCAAATGACGTGGCGCATTTATGCTATATATACCGATACATAGATATATAAATTTATAAGAAATTGATGAACCGGCATCGCCAAATGAGGGTGCGTGTTTAAGATCAATGATGGACCGGAATTGCCAAATGAGTGGGCGTGTTTAGGATATATGATGACACGGGATCGCCAAATGAGGGGGCATGTTCAAGACAAGATACCTGATGATCCGGAATCGCCATATGAGGGGGCATGCTTAGGATGTATGATGACCCGGAATCGCCTCCAGGATGGGCATGAGTTTAGAATCGGTCAGGTTCTCGAGACGAGGTACCGCTGAGAGGTGCGCGGAAGAAAATCAACACAAAAACACAAAAACACGCAAAAAATAACTACAAGCGGACGAGGAGAACGGGCAGGACCAGGGGGAAAACCACGGGAAAGGCAAGCTAAGCCATAAACATTCACAACAAAAAACAAATAATCGAAACACATCGCTTCCAAGCTTGAGCTGAGAGCTCCTGGCTTCCAGGACAGGGTCTGTTGTTGGATAGTACCAAGTAGGGATTCCGGCTTTGCGTTTTGGCTGTAGGGTTTAGGGTCATACGGTGGAACTACCTGCATCTCTGAAGACCAAACTTGACGAAACCTTTTCCTTCAACTGTTTCGACTCGACCCTGGACAGAGATTGAAACTCGAAGCAACATCTACGATGGGGCTTAGAGTAGGGTTCCGCGGCTTAGGAAGCAGGAGCCTTAACCCAAATACCTGCAACTTTTTGGGGGTTCAGCGCAAGATGCTCAGCAGCGAGATGTTTCCACTGGCAGGACTCTTTCAACCAAACCATCGATGAGACGCAGAAAAAGGCTCTTGGGCACATTTCGTTCCACGGGCTTTGGAGTGCAGAGAGCGAGAGGGAGAGAAGACAGAGAGAGAGACAGAGAGAGAGAGAGAGGGAGAGCGAGCGAGCGAGAGCAAGAGAGAGGGAACAGAGTCGACGAGAAAGGGGCCCTGAGCGATCGAGAAAGTGTGGGCATTCGTTCCCTTGGAAGCCCCACCCCGTGAGCAGCGCAGAGACCACCTTCCCGTACGATCCAGTCACAGTTGACCGAGAAAGAGCTTCGAGCAGCGCACCGGCTTTAGGATACGAATCTCGACTTTATTTACCTTGAGGCACATTGAAAGGAATGTGCTTTCCTGACCTCATAGTAGTCTACGTCAGGTGTGAACACTGTCCACGCCACCTAGTGAGAGCAAGCTATGGATGCAATGGACTGGAATTACATCCCGGGTTGTCCATGAACCGGAGACTTCAAAATCCTTAGTTTATGAATCTCCTCCAGTGCACTTTGGCAGACATCCTCGATACTGTACGGGGCCTGAATCAAGGGCGAGTACACTGGAGTATCTCGCAAGAATGGTGGTCAGCTTGTGTCAACTCGGAGTGTCGTCTGTCCTGCAAGCACCGGCTGACACCCTCAGGAAGGGATTGGGCACTGTGATGCTGGGAGTGCGGAGTAGAGAGGCCGATTGCTTGCGCAGGTTTCAGAAAAGAAGGCGGAGATCGAATCGGTGATAAAGGCCGTGTCGTCATCTTCGGGCTTCAAGAGCGTGTAGGGTGGACAGGAGGAACTTGTGTTCAGAATTGGCCTGACATGGCTTTTGGGAACCCGCTGCAGAGTGCGGCATGCGACTGCGGCACACGCACACAGGGTCGATATTGGGTTTTGGCATCCCAGCACAGAGGCCTGTTGTTTCGTGCCGCCAACAAACTCTTGACTTTTTCCCCAGATGCACAGAACCTTCTCGCCCGATTCAGGGCAAACAGGGATCCTGGAACAAATTGCTACATCGATGCTTCCCTGGTGGGTTTTCCTGGCAGGAGACGGAGCAAGTCCGAGTGGAAAAAGACGAGATCCTGCGTCAGAAGGACACGCACTCGACCTCCCGGGCTGGTAGCGGGAGTTACGAGAAAACTTTTAGGAAATGAGCCCAAAACCCTTTAAGTAATATAAAAGCCTGAGGGCCTACAGAGCGCTTGCTTGAGACATGGATTTCAGGGCAAGTCAAAGTGCAGCCTGCGGTTTGCTTTTGCCTTGTCCCCCGTACCGGTGGAGCCAGGATCACGAGATCGCTTCCCTGTCATCGAAGATGGAGACCATGGCCTTCGAGTTCGCAGACATGCTCAAGGAGGGTTTCTTCTTGGCTCTTCGGGCTTTCAAGCATCGCAGGATTCCTTGTCCTCCTTTCTGCAACGCCCGAAAAGAACATGCTGCTCAGCAGCGACGCCGAGCCTTCAACCAAAACTACGCTCAACCCCTGCAGAAGTGTCTGAAGTGACGGGAGCCATGCCAGGAGACATTGGACAAGATGAGCCAGCGCATCGAGGCCCGCAGCACCAACATATCGGATGCCTTGCCCTAGTAGTGGTGGCAGCAATGGCAGCAGATGCCTGTACCCAATACCAGTAGCAATAGTAGAGCTAGTAGCATCAGCAGCAGTCGTAGCATTAGCACGAGCATTTGCTGCCGTGATGGCAATGGTTCTACACGTCGAGCACTGGATCGGAAGATCAGCTGAGATTCGTAATGCGTTTCGTGCCACTGCTGGATGCCAGACACTGAACGAACATGATATTTGACTGGGGAGGTGCAAGCTTACCAATCCAGATGCCCACAACCCTGTTGGAAGGTACCCTTAGGTTGCAGACGAGAACTCCTGCATGATCGGGCCCGGCTTTGAAAATTTGCACCCGCAAGTGACCCCGAACTCCACAGCAACAGGAACATCAGAAGAAGAACATGACAACTACAACACGTGTAAGCGCAAATCTTGGGATTACTTTGGTTGTTTGTCATCATTCCGGTGATGCCTGCATGCTGAACCTGTATGGCTGTATGGTTTTCCTGCTCATAATGTGGAGTTTCCTGTTCCGACTCCACAGTTATTGACACCTGGATTCTTGTCGCGATTGTCGTTGGCACGTCCAGTATGCTCTGTTTCCCAATGGGACTTAGTAGGAACCCGTGTACGGGGCATCAGAGTCGCAGCCTTTTCGCTTTTTCTCCTCCCCGGGAAACACAGCCCCAGAAACTGTATCTGTTGGACAGATGCAAATGTTTACCGGCAAGGTGACGCACAACAGCTGGGATCGCGACACCACGAAGCCGCCTCTCATCAACAGGCTCAAGGCCTCCAGGGGTTGGGTCTTCAGGTCGTCATGCTGAGACACAGCTACTGCAGCCCAAGGACTCCAACGAGACATCTTGCAAAATAGGTCGCACAAACCGCAAGCGACACAACGACCACTACCACCTCTACCACCATCACTGTCAATGCATCTGCCACCACCAAGAACAACAGGCAACACAAGAACTCCAACTTCAAGTTCTCCTTCTTTTTGTTCTCTTCGGCTACGACTACTACTACTACTACGACGACGACGACTACTACTACTACTACCGCCGCGACCGCGAATACTCAACAGGGGGGCAGCTTCCGGCTCAGCAACCCAACAGTTTGAGAAGAAGTTGAAGGCATTTCTCGAAGACCCCCTGCAGGTCCGTCCCCATACGTTGGATTGCAGTCAGGGGCTTCGGGCCGTTAGAGAGGTATCTAAGGGAGCTTCAGGCTTGGGGTTCATTGAAATTTGCTACCAGGCTTGCAGCATGAGCCCGTCACAGCCTAGTCGCTCCCCGAAGTATTAAGATTGGTATTGTTATTCTTAACATTATTATTTGGATCATCATCATCCTGTTTACAGTGACTGCTATTCTGTTATTCTAACATGGCAGGAGTTCTCCCTCACGGACGAGCCACAAGACTGATGTGCACACGGAGCGCGACGCAGCTCCCGAGTCTCACGCCAGGTGCCCAAAGATCTGGAAACTTACGCAGTTCATATGCAGAACCCACAGAACTTGTAAGAATTTCGCTTTGGAAGTTTTCTGGGGCCTAGGACTTGATGGGTCGTAAGTCGGTCCTACTGCAGGCTTACAAAGGTTCCGCATCATGTGCGGGTCCGAATCACAGGACATTCGTAACCCTTGGCACACTTTTGCATCTTGACTGCTGTCCTTCGGGTTCCGCATGTTGTGATGATGCTACAATACACCCGCTTCGGAATAACGTGCCGAGAAGACCTTTTCCAATTATTGAGGCCCTTCTATTAGGAAGCTTCCGTGGCAGTTCTGGGGGCGCTCATGAATTCCATGGGACCCGGAGCTGCAAAGCAAGATCTCAACGCGAGAGCCGTAGAGTTTAGACCATAAAGTCTATATATATATATGTATACGCACACACGTATTAATACAGTATTTTCTAAGCTATGTGTATCATGAGAAATGCGGAAAGTTTGAGATCTTAAAAGCTTTTGAACCTCCAGTTCGGGTTGGAGTTCCCCAGCCGTCTCACGTCATACTTGACAGGGTAGTTGCATGCTGCAGCAGATCGAGTTCAGCGGGCTCGAAAGGTCAAGCGTGAGAACCCACTAATGAAACCGAAGCGACCTGAAATCCTCTCATCCCGTGGGTTCGGTTAAGAAAATTCAGAAGTTCGACAATGATAGGCGGAGCTTCAAGTCTGAGAACTCCGGGTTTAGGGCTGTCGCCAATCGATGAGGCGCCTCGACCCTGCATGGTCGCGGGCAGCACTGTGTCGAAGCAGACATCCCCCCCTAGGGTTTGGGGTTTAGGGCCATATTCACTCTATTCACATTGTATTCCCACTAAGCAAAAGGATTTTGGATGGTTCCGTCGATCCTGACTTCCAGCTCGGAAGAAGTGTCGACAGCAGCTGCCCGATGGCGGCCCGAATTACACAGACGGTCCGACCGGTGCGAGCTGTTTTGAGCTTGAGTTTCCTGCCAAACTCGAAGCTAGGCAAGCCTGAGGCTGTTCAAATGCACGAAACTTTGGCGCAAGCCCAGAGGTGCAGCAGGCCTCCTAAAACCCTGCAGATCTTGGGCTGCGCACTAAAACCTTGAAACCTCTGCGACGCAAGATTCTGAATCCCCAGCCCCGAACCCCACTTGCGCAACATGCCTGTTCGGACGTGGCCGCAGCTTTCAAGGCCTGATGCGGCCAGAGTGGTGAGAACTGGCATCCTACTGACGGGTGTAGGACCCATGGATTGTATGGATTGTAGGTTACAGGGTTTAGAGGTTTAGGGTTTAGGGTTACAGTGGCACAGGATGAGAGAGCTTAGAAAGCAGCGAAGTCAGTCACGGACCACAGACTCCCAAGAAGAAGCTTTCTCCGGCTCACTTCGAAGCCTTAAGGCACCCGGCCCCGAACCAGAAAGCCTAAAGCCTCGCGGCCCCCGATTGAGCCCAAGAAAGACGCCTTGAACCCGAAACCCGTGTGACCTGGAGTCCGAATCCCCCTACCCCTTAAACCCCATACCCCTCAAACCCCCTACCCCTTAACCCCCATAGCCCTCAACACCCATACACCTTAACCCCTATACCCCGTAACACCCATACCCCTTAAACCCTAGACCCCTTAACACCCATACCCCTTAAACCCTAGACCCCTAGAACCTCCAAGCCCGGCTCTGGACCTCGGAGCTTCCGTCATCGAGTTGGGGGCCATGGTGGATGTCAGCCGTCCGGTGTGCCTGGAAGACTTCCAGAGGCTTCTCAGATTTCGGGGCACGGCTCAGGCAGTTGCGGCTTGGGGTTATCCTAGTCTTGGGTTTCAAGTAAAACGATTTTCGGGAAGTCTGAATAGGCACAAGAGAACCGGCAGCATGATATAGGCGCTTCGCTTTGAGCCCATGCGCGCATAGCTGCATAATGCCGGTGGTACATTTTGTGAGCCATATGTGGTGTCTACGTGATAAACTCGGCATGTAGACATAATTATACGTGTGCACATGGGCACGCGCGCGTCCAAACACAATCCCATATACATACGCATATAGAACAGAACTACATACATCAGTATGTGCGAATCTAGGCATGCGCATACTGTATACACATCTCGCTGAGTGTATGTCTGTACCCTTTGTACTTCTGTATGCATGAATGTACTTTTTTTTGTGCGAAGGTGTGTAGGTATTTTGGCTCGTGATGTATGCAGCATTTTGCAAGGTAGTATAATTTTCCGACACGCTGCGGAGCAATGCAGTCCCGGGCAGCGTGCTTGACACACACTTCCATGTGCCGTAGTACAATTTACATATTGAAATGCAATGCAAGGCTAAGTAAAACAGCGAACATGGTGCTATGCGGAGAAACTTTCATGCAATGTCAATGTGGCATTACCTAGCGTATCTCATGTTGCATATTGTCATGCTGTGTTGTGACCTGGGCGGTGGCCTGCCTGGTTCTGGCAGGAAAAACAAGCAAGGAATGAATGCGTGTATGTGTGCACATTGACGTCTCTCTCTCGCGTTCTCTCCTCTGCTTCAATTATCTGTTCGTTCTGGGTTTCCTGGCCTAAACGCTGGATTGCCAGAAGCAGTTTTTTCTGCAATGAGCCGGTGGAGGTTGTACTGTAGTGCATTAGGCATCCAGACAGGCCCGACAACCCAAACTCCAAACGGTCGACAGGTGGAACCGTGTCTGCCACACACGCAAGATCCAGGCCATCGGCGAGCCTTGCTGACCTAACCCCGCTTCTATGTCCTTGAAAACCACCCCTTGAATTTTGCCAACGGTGCCGAAACCCTAAACCCTAAACCCTAAACCGTCTAGATGCCAGATGCCGGTTCGTTCAGTGCCCTAGATATTTGCAAGCCGGCCTGTGGTTTCGCAACACCTCTTTGCGCCTCGATTTCACTGATAGGCACCGGAGTCATTTCTTTGCTGAAGGGGCTCCGGAATTGTAAGGTTCCTGATCTCGGTGGGTGTATGCCTTCTATGCATCTTGGCCTCACGACCGGCGGTGCACGAGCGCCCGAAACACCAAAGCACGCTCAACACCAGGGCTCCAGAGTTTTAGCCAGAACGGTTATTACTGAGCCCATACTGAGCTGCAGATGCCCTACACCTTGAGGCTCAACATGCCACACCCCGGATTTTTTTGCAGCTCCAAACCCAGTGAAGATGGAACAAACACACTTGGTTGTTCCACTCTCGCTAGATTGCTAGAGATGAGGCTGCCGTGGCGCATTGGAGATACAACGCCAAGTCATTGCAAGACTTTCTTGCTAAAGCATCCTTTTATGACCCTCGTTTTTGTGGTTGTCATGAGGCTCGGGCATGCTGCGGCCCATAAGGACCGTAGACTTGACCTGTGCAGGCCAGATATCATGAGATGGTCGAAGAGGCAGAGAACAAAAAGGCGACAAGCTCAGCTCCCGAAGGTTCGACTCGGACGGGCTGCATCTTTTTGGACCTGCGGCAACAAGCTGCGAGTCTGTGTTGTTACGAAAAGTCTGTGTCTATAGCCCTGGTAGTGCCTTTAAGCCGATGCCCGATG